TTAGAATCCTCTACCTTCTATGTTGTCAAGAAAAGAAATGTATATTCACTGACTTTATGAAGGTGGTGGGGCCTGTACAGATGTAGTTACGTATTATTTTGTAGCTGTCGTTCAGAAGGCATCCAGACCAAAAATGTGTCTCTGGAATAAAATGTCAGTTATGGGACATGGTCCAGTGAATGTGGAGAGAAGGAAAAAGTGCACTGCACTCCTCTAAGAACCTGCGTAGAACAGGGAAGAAAAGAGATTGCGGGAGAGAGGAGATTGGAGAAGACAATAGTGCAGCCAGCCTGCATGCATGCAACTAGAATACCAGCTGCAGTTGCAGGACTTAAATAGTTCCATTAATAAACAGCCAGTTTAGTTTGATAAGTATGGAGCCCTCTCCTGGGGGTATTATCCATGAGGCAGTTCCCATCATGGCCTCCGGCTGCCTCTCTCATATTGAGGAACAAGGCCAGATGAGTTACTTTCTACTGAATGGAGGGGCAAGAGGAGGATGGCAACGTTACAAACAATTTCTTTGTGTCTCCTTACCCCTCTTCTTGAGCCTGTCCTAATAAGTTTAATACTCATTATGCCTCCTGCAGGAGAACCTGTGCACATCTACACATGCTATTAATGCACAGGAAAGTTACTATGCATTAAAAAAGGAGCAGTAAATTGCCCCCAGGGAAAAGGTCTACACATGTGCTGACTTAGAAGCAAATTTACTTCCGAACAGAGCAGGTGAGACCAGGGATGTTCTTGCCCCCTACCCTGCTCTTCCCTATTGCAGCATCCAGGGGGAGCTCCAGGCTTCTCTGGGTGCCAGCCCAGGGCTGGCAAGGGGCCAGGAGCTGGTGGACTGCTGCATCCCAGCCACATGGGGATTGGACTCTATCCCCAGGTGGCCAGGATAGGTGTCCCCGCAGGGATGCTGCCTGGCAGCCACTTGGGAATCAGGAGGGTCCGGATACCCCCATGTGGTGGGGAGAGGACTCCCCACCTGGGGGGGTACAGGCATGTGGGGATTGGGACACTAGGCGGAGACACTTCTCCCCACCACATGGGGATCGGGTCCCAACCTAGTTCCTACCAGGCTGGGATGCAGCAGTCCTAGCTGCTGGGACAGCTCTCCTGGCCAGGTGGGGATCAGGACAGTCCTTTTTAGCATGTGCTGTTAAAAAGCAGAGCCGGGCCCCTTGAAGCTATGCTGTGGCTGCCGGCCAGGCTCCTCTCGGCAGGTAACACATTACAGACCCTGAAACAATGCCTTTGAGATGCTCAGGATACTCTTCAGCTGCTTATCCTTAATGAATCAAGACTGGAACATGACCTTTCTGTGAAGGCAAACTCCCTCTTCATTGTGGCGGGGAGACAGCTGCCCCTGCAGCCAGCACAGCTTTCGCCACATGGGACTTAGCCAGGCAGCAGTGGGCCACCTGCTGCCAGGGGCTGACCAAGAACAAATTTCTCCCTGCCAGCATCTACATATACACTACTGCACAGTAGCTAATGCGCAGTTAATCTACTATCTGTATTTTCAGGTAGTAGATAACTGCGGATTGGCTTAGTTTATTGTGCAGTAGCCTTGCGCATGATTAAATAGCAACACTTTACTGCACAGTATATTAATCTAATGCACAGTAAAGCATCTTATGTAGAGACACCCCCTGCTCCCCAACTCAAGTCACTGGCCAAGTGGTGTACAGTGCGTTTTGATTCATATGTCACATTACAAAGACAGCAGTGTCATGAAGATGTTTCATTCTTATCTCAGGACAAACACATTTTGTCCTGAGATAAGTGCCTCATTGCTCTGGGGCACTATTTTTATATTATTATGTTACTGTTCCCAATCTAGTGCCCTGGGCTCCTTCAGTTGCTTTATAAACACAGGCACACTTGCTTAGCAAACCTAAGTTATACCATCTATCTACTGATGGGACAGACAGGCAGTTGGTGTAGCTAAGATCTGAATGAAGTCATGCCTTACTCAGGGTCAGGCTAAGAATTCATAAATCCCTCATTCTGTTTTGAGCAGAAACCAAATATCCACCCAGTTTAAAGAACTAGTTATAAATACTCTTTGGCTCGACACTTTCTGTGCTGAGGACGTGTGCACCAGGGTTGTTATTTGAAGTAGACACTCTTATTTTAAACAATTTGGAATGAATTGTAAAGGAGATTAATTTACCAGACCAAAATTATCCCAAGCATAAGCCCACTGGAGACAATGAAATTACACCATGATGAATTTGGCTTGCTGGCATCCAACCAGGCGTAGAATAGAAAGAGCTACTGTATCGGTAGACACTGTAATACAAACACAGGAAAGGAGGACCCTGCTAAGCAGTGGGTGACCTCTACATATTTATTTTCCTCACATTCCTGTTACACCCCTGCAGGTTGATATTTTAGTTGGCATTCAAGGTAGTGGGGGCCTTGTAGCAGCGAGTGTGAGGCATAGGATTAACAGTGTCTCTAAAAAGACACAAACAACTCCTAATCTGCTGGCAATACATTTGGAAAGGATAAAAGGAGGAAATGCCCCATGACACACAAAAACTGTAGGATCACTAAGCAAAGCTAGATAACGCTAATGAAGTTTGCTGCCATTGGACACTACTCAGGCTTTACCTTTTGATCAGCAACAGAGTCTAAACAAAGCTTGATGGATCTACCTCTCTTCATGACAAAGCAGAAACCAGGATGTGGATTTTCTGTCTAATGACTCTTGTACAATGTATAATACAGCTTCATTAGGTCTATTTGCTTTATTTACTTTTTAAATTGCTTTGTTTGCCTGTTCACTCAACCTGTTTTATAAGGTATTTTGCTCTCTTATTGTAAGATGCTCTGAGCCTTTACTGGGTAGGATGGTTTATAAATAAAATAAACAGATAAATACATGAATAAAAATAATGAAGTCTTATCATTGAGCTGTTCCTCTGAAAAATAGGTGTGGCTACAATGCTCATTGTATTACCTGCGTAAATCTTTCTTTTATAAATACAGGGTAACTTAGATGGCGATTACTGAATTAAAAAAGCAAATACTATAGAGTGAAATTAGCAGAAGAGACAAGCTACCCTTAACTTCAATTTCTTTAATTACATTTTGTGTTCTCCTAGTTATAAAATGTGATAGCTTCCCATGAGTTACAGTACACTTGCCTATTCTGCTCCCTCACCATGCAAAAACAAGCACAACTTTATGACTTCCCCCTGCTGCTTTTCCTATTTTATTATATAGTTTAAATCAAACAAAAAAGCCATGAGGACTCTGCAGGAAATTGTTATTAGAGGCTGTTTTGCAGTTTAAAATTATGCTGCTCTAATTCCACTGGCATCTCCCTTCTGGTGCTGCTCTCTCTACATGTCCCTCCAATTTGAAAAAAAGAAAGAAAGACTTTGTAAGTGAGCTGTTTTCTTCTCTCTTGGCTCAGAGAGGAGTTTTCAAAAACTTCAGAATTCAGCTCCAGTGTGAAAAAAAAATTACCCGTGATTCGGTGTCCTTGCAGTAGACTGCTGAAAGATTTGGAGTATGCAGCAGCTTCAGTGGGGCCATACTGGGTCACTGTTTTAGGCGATTTGACACCGCCACACAACTGGAAATAAGGAAGTATATGTAAGCTTTGAATGACAGTAGCAGCTTGTCTGGAATTTTACACATCCTTGCTATACTCACTGTTCAAGAAGCATCTTTTTGATGTGGGGAGAGACTGGAGAAGTTCTATAACACGTTAGTCCCTAATAAAGTCGTCTTTTGAAACTGATGATATACAGGATAATATTGTTGGACATTGTTTTCCAGAAAAGTTGCATGCTCCACTTCTGTCTAAGCAGGAGAAGGGTAGGGAACCAGTTAAAGGAATTTAAAACTCTGTTTTGTCATCAATACTCAATTTTGCAATGGGAGGGACATGGCTTATTATTATCTCATGGACTTAGCATGGGATTCCTAGGAATGTCTGCAATAAGTGAACTAGTTTTCAGAGATATAATTATAAGGACCCCCACCTGAAATTTCTTTGGTTAAGTGTTATTGAGTATCCATCTGAAGAAATAGCATAGTTACCTTCAGTACCAAAGCAAAACAGACAAAATATACTTTGTTGCCTTAAATTAGGGATTTGCTAGCAGATAACAACAAAATGACATGCCAGAAAATAGATGGTTAAGATTAGGAGTTGCCTGCCTTAAATATCAACATGGATTCTGATAACTAGTTAGGTTAATTCAGCAGTAACTTCTACTATGATATAAACCATAAAGCTTCAAGGGTGCTCTGACCATAGGTTGCATAGGGGTTCATAGATTTCATAGACATTAGGGCTGGAAGGGACCTTGGAAGATCATCGAGTCCAGCCCCCTGCCCAAAGGGCAGGAAGTCAGCTGGGTTCATAGGATCCCAGCAAGATGAGCATCCAGTTTGCTCTGGATTCATTCCAGCTGGTTCATTCCAGCTAATGGAAAGGGACCGAGACTACAGTGCAAATTTCATGGCTCAACTTCTCAAAGTTGCATAACTGGTCCTGTAATTAGTGGAGTAAGATTATATCAGCTGTAGGGAATATAAGGAGAAAGAAAAGGAAAGAAATAAGATTCTTAGTTTAGAGCCTACTTTAGCAACAGCATTTACACCTGAATGCTTGGTGACCTTTACTCAAGATTTTGATATACTGTGTTCCTGTACAGCATTTTTCTACACTCCTATGAATACAATGTCTTTGTTCCAAGCTTAGTGTTCCTGTTATTGAGTTTCTTTACTCAGATGTAAGGAACAATATTCCTACATTGTGACTCATACCTACTGTTGGTTAGCACTTTTGGAAACTGTGGGACGTTTCCACTGTTTTATGGAAGCTGTTGCCTGCATGTTGGGCTACTTTACCTACTCACTGTGGGTTTAAGATAAGTGCTATTTTATGTAAGCTGAAGTAGGGAAGAGTAGAAGCAGAGAATTTTGATTAAATTTGTGGTGAGGCCCATAAAAATGCTCTTTTTTATATTTAGACACTTCAAGAAATCTTCCAGATAGAAAATACAATTATGTTGCTGGAGAGATCTATAATGGCCAAGGAATGTCCACTGAAAGTGGCTCAGACCCGCCTGGAGGGAAGAACAAGACGACCCAACATAGAACTTTGCTGTGACATCCCTCAGTTTAAGTAAGTATATGCACGGGTTTGCTACCCCTCAGGGGATAGTTCAAGAAGTAAATTTCAGATGAATTAATTATGAGATATTTTAAAGACTGCAGAGCCCATCATAAGAGAAATCACACATGTCAAGATTAGAATTATGTTACTTACAGGGTGACATCTGATTAAAATTGTAAATCCTAGAAGAAAGAAATAAAATTGAGGCCAAACAGGAGCAAATGAAATCAATGAGCCAAAACGTGTGTTGTCCCCCTACCACATCAGTTAGGAGATACAGTGTTCAGGTTCCCATCTAAAACTTAATTACACGTAAGCATGACCCCTCTATATTCTGAAGTAATTTTTCAGTGCTGCTATACAATAGTGTTACTACTCTAAGATCACTTTTTGGAGAGCTGACACCAACTGCATACAGTTTGAATGAACAGTTTCATGCACAAATTGCCTTTCCATTGTGGATGGTAGGTTTCTGTTACAATACTATGTGCAACGAGAGAAACCACCTCTCCTTCTCTAGAAGCTTATCAAACAGTTCAAGTTCTTCTCCCTTCTGCTCATTTGGAGCATATCACCTCTGTGCAAAAGTCAGTTTACAGTTGAACCTTGCCAACATAGGAAAACATAAATGTCACCTTCAAGATTATATTAAGTTCGGATTTCCTCAAGGAGCACTGTGATGCTACCCACAATGTTCCTCCAGCACACAGAGGGAACATCAGACTCCAACAGAAATAATTTGGCAGATTTGCTTAACAGTTTTATTTTGTTCTCTAGAAAACAAACAGGGCCCCACTTCAAAAAAGATCTGAGATATATGTGTGATATACAAATAGTATACATCAGGGGTGTCAACTCACCTTGTGCTCTGGGCTGGAATCAGATTGCAGGGCTCTTTGTGGGTCTGATTCAGACCACAGGGCTTCCTGTGGTCTGGATCCAGCCCAGGAACAAGGAAGCTGTGGTGGCAGCTTCAGCTCCAACCCTGGGCAAGTGGTGGCACCTACAGCTCTTCCCTTGTGCCGTATGCCACAGCAGCAGCTCCAGCTCTGGCACCAGTGCGTGTGACAGCAGTGCCAATGGGCAAAGTGGCTGGAGGGTGACTGGGGCTGAATGTTCTTGTTCACCCTCCTCCCATTGAATGCCATGTCTGTCAGGGCCTGAGGACTCCTGATTCTATGGCAGGCCACTCCTCCCAGCATGCCTGTAGCCTGTCAGGCTGGATAGAGTGGCACCGTGGCCACAGCTATGTATCTGACACCCCTGCTGGATATAGTACCTTCCTAGAGGGTGAGGCAATCAGTGCTGGTCATGGGTTTATGTTCATTTTCTTAACTGTATTCTATCACATCAAATCAGTATTAAAAAATGATGTTAGTGACCTGTAGTTCATTATGTTATCACCTTCGTAGTTTTCCCTCAAACTCAGGGAACCATAAACTGTTGAATATGATATATTTTCCATGTGCCTGCATGTGCCTTCTTAGGCAGACAGCTTTATGGCTGGCTTTGAAATTTGTTCTGGGCATGTTCACATATTAGACTGTTTCATCTTTAGGAGCCATACAGATTCCATTGCGGGAGGGTGGTGTGCTGGCCATGGGTGACTGGTGCCACCTTTGTCAGGGAAGTCAGTGACTGGGGGGGGTCCCCCTGCGGCCAATCTTATCAATGGGGGGCAGGGGCTCCCCCCACAGCTGCTTCCCGAAGTGGCCACGGTCGCTTCCAGGAGTGCCATGGCACTTCTACTCCCTGGCTGGCGCTCACGGGGCAGGGGGGAACTGGTGCTTCTGCCTGCCCTCCCTGCCCGTTGCTTGAGCGGCAAGCACAGCCAGTCAGGAGGTGCACCTGCACTCTCAGGGGGTGCACGTGCACCCCCTACGCATTGCCACTGGTGCTCGCTTTTGAGACAGTGAGCCTCTTCTCTCACAGTAATAGTTTTCTTTTTTGCAGGTTTCACATCCCACATATCCCATTTGTATTAAATGCTTAAATAAATTACAAGTTTCAGCGCTCAGGATCAGCCAGATTTGGATTTCTTCATATAAAAAATAAAATAAAATAAAATAAATCAGGTGGCCCTAAACACTAAGTTATAACTCAAGTGGTACCTTTGCTTTGAGGCCCCAACTGATGGCCAAGAGAGCTTACAGCTCTAATAGTGATCTGGCATTTATTATATTTAAGTTGGTAGGATCCCACTACCTATGCTTTTTCTTCCCCTAGATACTCTGGAAGGTCCCTTCCATAACTGTTCTTCTGTCATGCTTTTTTCTACACTATCTCCTTACACATGGAAGGTTCTTTACCTTTGATCAGTTTCTCTTCTTTCAAAACAATTCCTTACACATACAATTTTTTCAAAACCTGTCAATTTAGGTCCAGTATACAAAACTATTTATCATCTTCCTTCCCTCCCCTCCAAAAAGTCTGAGCTCTTTGGATTAACCTCCAGCCAGTCATCAAATCTCTGCATTTCTGAATTAAAATATAAAACGTTTGTGTAGGGTCCATGTCCTTTGTGTTCTTGACAGCACCAAGAATGCAGTGACACTCCACAGCTATAGCTACAGGTCTCAGTTCAACCACAGACTGAAGCTTCATTGAGGTCCAGAAAATTGAGAACATGCTGAAGTGCTTTGCTGAACTGAGACCATAGGGACGTAAGTGTGACAGATGCAGAGAACAAAATTCAAATTGTTTCTGAGGCTCCTCAACTGGCCCATAGGTTATCTGACATCTGCTGAAGTAATTTATGCTTGGTTTATGTACTGTTTTCATACTAGGATAACTGTTTTGGTTAGAGGTGCAATTTTTAGCCCAAATATTTAGGCTGGTATAAATCCAATAGGTTTAGTCATACTGGTGTGCAGGTGTCTTAAACCATTATAGTTTATTCTATTTCCCATAGGAGGATAAACTATTCCACTTTCCATATGTGAATAAAATGTATTATTATAATCACTTATCTGTAGGGCCTGTTTTAAATCATGGGCTCAGCTCACTAATATTGTGGCCCAGTTGTGGTGGGGGGCTACCATTTTGGTGCCCAGATCATGGCTGCCCCCTACCCCCCAAAACCCCTGATTGGCTAAGGGGGCAGGTTTAATTGCAGCAGCAGAGGCCTTGCTCCAAAATCCTCTGATCACTGCTGAAAAGCCCATGACTCCCCACACCTCACTGGAGATGGCCCTGACCCTGGTAGGGGAGGAGCTATTTACTTCTCTGGGGGGAGGGGTGGGGGTACTGGGGTGTGGGGAGTTGGGGGCACCTGGGGTCTGCCTTAGCAGGTGGCCCTGGCACCAGGTAGGGTACAGGCTGTTTGCTCCTCTGTGCGTGTATGCTCTTCTCCCACCCCCAACCCCTGGCACCCCAGTTTTCCCTCCAGGAGGACCAAAGAGCCCCTCATATACCTGGTGCCAGGGCCACCTTCCAAGGCAGCTCCAGTTTTCCTACCTGGAGCAGCAAATAGCCCCTCCCCTATCCAGTGCCAGGGCTATCTGCCAAGGGAGCCCTCAGGTGCCCCCAATCACCTGTACCCCAGTTTTCCTGCCTAGAGGAGCAAACAGCCCCTCCATTACCCATTTCTAAGCTCTCTCTTCCCTCTTGTCCCTTTTGCACCCTCCCCTGGGCTGCTAGGCTTTTGCTGCTGGCTAGGGATTGCTTTCTCCAGCCTGCAGCAGCAATCTTGTTGCAATTAAATGCCATGATATATGTCCACTTATTGGGGAACTCTCCAGCAAGCAGCCATATTGTGGCAAGATGCCTCTGTTATGGGACTATCTACCCTCTTTCTTTGCAAATCCCCCTTTTTTTTTTTTTTTTTTTTTTGAAAAAAATCACTTAATTTTGTGATTTTCATGAAAAATGTGAAATTGCGATTTAAACCAGGCCCTACTTATCTGAGATACAACTTTGTCCATACTATAGAATGTGTGCTACTTTAGCTCTGCTGATAGAGGTAGAGCTACAACTTTTGCATATATATAAAGCCTAAGACTCAGGTGAGAGGCTGCTTGCTTCTATCACAACTTGATTTTAAACATTGTGAAGTTATAACTGTAGTCATTTCAAACATGGTTACAGTGTTATGCAGGATATGCCTGTTTTTGATTTAAAGAAACTGAGATGAACTTCTATGTTCTGGGTGAATCAAACTCAAGACCAATATGAAAATATTTTGGAGACTGGAACATGTTCAGTAAATTTGTTTGGTGTATGCACATGGATTAGTCATTTCTGAGGCTGATGTGAAATCTGTTTTTAGTAATTTAATTCCTGTATAATACCGTGAAAAAGATGCCAGAGTACATTGCTTTTAATATAATAAATGTCCGAGGCAAAAGCTATGGAGGAAAATATAAGCTTTCTGGTTTGGAAAGGGAGTAGAAAAAGGAGATGTAGAGTTATAATAGGCTTTCTTACCTGCTCAAAATTAGGAAAAATTGTAAGCCCCATGGCTAGGGACAGATATTACACATAAACCAGTTAAAGTGATCAGAAACTGGTTTAATCCTGTAACAGTACAGATGTTCAGTGCACATAAACTGGTTTGAAAATGGCTGAAACTGGTTTGAGATAAACCTGGTTGAATTTATTATCAGACTTAACTGATTTGGGTCAAACTGGTTTATGCAATATCTGTCCCAGACCCCTTGCTGGTTTAAGAAAAACCAGGCTGGGCCCTCTGCTCCACAGCAGGGATGGCCCCTCCCCTCTGCTCCCTGGCTGCAGCTCCGGCAGAGACTTGCAGGCACAGCAGTGTCTGCCTGGCTTCCCCCTGTTCCCCCTGTTCCCCTCACCACTCCCTGCCTTACACAGACACATAGCATTAGCTAGCAGACCACATGCTGGCTACAGTCCATGCTGTGGTAGACAGCAGTGTCAGCTTAGGGCTTTTTGGAGCTAATCAACAGTTCATCTGGTAATGTCCCTCCATTCCTTCTTTGTTTAAGAAGGAGAGAGGCCGCTTCCTGATGGGGTGATAAATGCTGATAACAGAGTTGATAAATGCTGTGTTGTCAAGGGGTGGGGGTGCCCCTCCCTAATCCTGTTGGGGCCTGGCCATGTCCCCCTCAGCTCTGCACTGTGGAAGGGAAGGAAAGGCTGCTGTAGCACCCCCTGGCTTTTGCCTGAGCAACTGCAGGCATGTGCCTGCATTTCTGGGATGTCTTTACAGTTACAAAGTGATTTAGCCTAGGCAGGTTAGACAAACCTGCAAAGATTGAATCAATTCAGGCTCAGGCTTTTTGAATGTCTGTCCCTAGTCCATGAATTTGGTCCTGTGTCTAAACTGGAATAAAAGAAGTTCTAAAGTGAGGGCAAGTCCATTAAAATCATGATGTTTTCTACATTCCAGATGAACACCCCATGTTTCATTGCTTCTCCACCCAATATACTATCCACACTTTCTGTCTTTTTAAGACATTCCCCAAAATTATTTTCCTCACTGTCATTACTGCAGTGCTTTAAATGGTATTTTGTCACTTCAGTTTTTCACAATCAGTAACGGTAGGGATGCTAGAGATCCAAAAAAGATCCGTCTTAGGTACTGTTGCAGATTTGTACCCCCTACTCCTAGCTCATACAAACACAGAGACAAATCAGAAAGTCCTTGGTTCAGGCAAAACTCCGATTTAAGCCAATTTTGCCTGACTAAAACATATATGTTGCCTGACAAACACAAATTTTGGGCACTCAGCCAATCCAAACCTTTGAATCTTTTGTGGGTTTGTCCATTATAATCACAATCAGAGATGGATCTTAAGGAAAACTGACAGAGCTTGAGAATTTGAAATCTGAACCCAGTTTTGAATCCAAAAGTTTTGGCTGGGGTGCACAGAACTGAAGTAATAACCTCCCCTCTGGCTAATGCAAAAATCATTCAATATTTGCATTCTTTAAGAATTGATGCTTTTGGAATAATTTGTAAGGTCTATTTATCTCCTGTGGTTAAAAGCAAGAGACCGTTCAATCCAAAAATTCAAAAGTAGTAGGTATAGGAAGAGAATATCCGATCAACCACTTGTTTTTTAGCCTGTAAATGTTATCTCGGTTTGTTGTTATTTAAAAGGAAGCGCTGTTGTTGGCACTGATTCTCTGACTTCGTGTGCTGCCAACTATATGGCTGAGGGATTAAAAAAGAAAACAAGTAAGCCAAGTTTAGCTTTGTTCTACACTTCACTTTACCATATCAACTGGAAATATTCCAAAACAGCAAATTAAAGGGGATCCTGAAAAGACGGAAGCCATCATTTTACCAACTATGAAAACAGTAATACACTTGAGGCACTGGAAGAAATACTGAGTGGCCCATGCTCGTTTTGTTGTTTTTTTTTTAAACAAAGTCAAGCAGATTGAGACTTGAGCAATGCAAAACATTCATAAGGGAACCAGACAAAGCTGCATTAGTGTCCTTGTACTATCGTAACATGAACCAAAACAGTCCTAGGGGCACATCCAGATGTGTGGGGATGTTTGGTTCCCTGGGGACAAGTAGCTGTGGTGCTCCTTGCACAGCTGCTTCTTGTCCCTAGGGAACGCCCATGTCATGTACGCTTTTGTGCATGGCAAGTTGCCTTGGGTGGCATAGGGGAGTGGGGACCAGCACTGTGCTGGCCCCAGTAGCCTTACCTGGGGTCCTGGAGGCTTCCCAGAGCTGCAGCCACAGTGATCCTGCAAGGCGGAGCCTGGCCGGCAGCAACAGCACATCTTCAAGTGGCCTGGCTCTCCTTTTTAGCAGTGCATACTTCCCAAGCGTGCACTGCTTCGGGTTTTTTTCCTGCATTTTTTTTTTGCCCCCTGGATATCCAGGGGGCAAAAAAACCCAAACAACTAAACTATGGAAAAAAATGGAGTGGCACACACTCAGGTAGCATGCCCCTGCAGTGTGGAGAACTTTAGACTGTGTGGTATGTGATGCTGCAAACGTGTTTACAGCGCCACATCCCACATAACCATGGTTGTCTGGCTGCACCCAGGAAAGTTAGATTATACTGTAATTTGGCCCAAGTTTCAGAATTTTATAGACTTCTCAATAAGACCCGGGACAATTTATGGTTTGAGTGAAATTATCAGAATCTCAGTAAGAGCACGAGAAGCATTATACAATCATCCTGTGTAAAGAAAATACAGGGCATTGGAACACATCTGGCCATTGACAGTGCATAGGAAAGCTCTACTTCAGAGCTACAAGCCTAGTGACTCTATTGCAGCTCAGTGAAATGCAAGGGTTAGCTTTGCCTTCACTAGTATGCTTCTTCAGCAACAGCAGAGCAAGAAGCGTTCCACTTAGGGATGGGCCAGAATACATAAACACTTAGCACGACCACCTACCCAGATCATTTATGGGTATATCAATATGCATGTCTGCACCAACATGCTTTGCTAACATCCATCTCAGAAGTACGCTACAAAACCAGCAAATAGGAATTTGACTTTGTAATGTTGTACCTGGCATTACATGCGGAGCAGTGATGGAAAAAGAAAATTTGCATCATTAACTATATCAAAGTATGAGAGCCAAGCTTGACATTGAAGGGGCAATGCTAGCAGGATGTCAACCTTGTCCACAAGGTGCTACATAAACACATTTGGCAAGGAAGACATTTTTTCCTCACTTGTTCAGTTCATCTTTATTATTTTATTAAAATTCAAATCCTGTAAATATTGTGGAAAAGAATCCAACTCATGCACCATCCAGAGAAGGTGATGGAAAGGGTTTGTTTTAAAAGCATTTGGATAACTTGTCCCCTCCTTTTTCAGACTCATCAATGAAGTTTTTACTATAGGTGACACATTACAGACCCTGAAGCAACGCCTTCGAGATGCCCAGGATACTCTTCAGCTGTTGGTCCTTAACAAATCAAGACTGGAACATGACCTTTCTGTGAAGGCAAACTCCTTCTTCATTGACAAGAAGTGCATGGACATGCGTAAAACCTTCCCCAGCACCCCACGGCTCATTGGCTACACTTGAAATAGCCTGAGATGTCCTGATCTTTTCATTATCTGACATAAAAGTTTGCAAATTATGAAGGAAATATTTTTCATTTTTAAAAAAAGAAAAAGCCCAGTAGAAATAAACATACCAAAACAAAAAATGTCACAGTTCTTTCCTTAAAGAAACTCATTCTCCTCAGCTGCCTGAAATCTGTAGAGTAGAAAGAACAGCTGTATTCAGATAGAACCAGACCAACTTGAAACAACACAAAAAAAATCTGTCTGCTAATTTATGGCTGATGAAAATATTGGATTGACACACTGTTTATCTGTATAACTTGAGAACCTGGCACCATCATCATGTTTCAACTCTGATCTGAAGGAGCCACATCCAAGAGAAAGAAGAAGTGCAGCCTGAGCCCTTAGTTTCTCTGCCAATTACTGCTAAACTTTGTGTTACAATGAACACTTGTCCATTAGGACTAGAGTGAAATGCCTCAAGCATGATGTAGGTTGAAGTATGACCTAAGGGTAACAATCTTAGAAAGGCCATAGTCTTTTTCATCAGTTGAACTCATGGTACTTTATAAAACTGTAGTAGCATTGTGCCCATTGTACAGATGTGAAAACTGAGTCACAGAGAGGGGAAGTGATTTATCCAAAGCCACCCAATGAGGACAGCAGTATTATGAGTTCTGGTACCAGAAATGCCAAAAAAAATAAATAAATTAAAAAAAAAAATTCTGACCTGAGAACCAGTTATGGCTCTATTTCAGAATTGAAGAATTTCTAGTCTAATGTTTGGGTTACATTGAGCTTGACCTGGATGGTGAACAAGTTTGCAAACCATTTGACAATAGTAAAGAATGACAGGAAAAAGTTTCTCTCTTTCAATATTAAACAAAGGGCTTTATTAGAATAAGGAAAGCTTTAACTCTGTGTTTTGTTATAGGGGACTTCCACTGTAGACTATGCCCACACCAGTCTTCCACCTGACTTCTGCAGATTTAGAGACATAGCATACAGCCCCAAGTCTATACCACCTAAAAGACAACACTGGGCATGTATCAGATTGTAAGCTTCTTAAGGACAGAGTCAAAAATCATCCCTAGTATTATTGCAATTACAACTACGGGCCAAGGAGAAGATCCTAATTATACTGACTAACCTTCCAAGTTGGAGCTCGGCGATTCAGGGAAATCTCTGCACAAACAGGGCAGACTAAAAACTAAGTAGTTAATTAAGGTGGTCATAAACAGGTATGATCTAGAAAAGTTTCTAAGCAGTTTGGACACACTGCTGTCCTCTTATAGGAAGCTCTTGTCTTCAGTCTATTGCATTACAGTCTAATGACTCAGGATGGTAAGAGCTGCATCAAAGCATATTTCAGTGGAATAATAATCGTTTCTTTGGTATATTTTTCATAGTTTATTTACTGGATTTATTCATGCTTCTTTATAAGTAACCTGAGTTTTAGTTACTACTCAGTCATGCTACTGATGCTTATGAACTGCTAACAGGGATCTTGTCAGTAGTTCTGCACAAATACATTACATACATTGTATTTTGAACCAAAACCATGTATGGAACCAATGTCAGGGCTGAAAGGCCACTGGATAAACCTACTCTGTTCTTTGTTCTCTGTTCTGTGCTCCAAGCTGTAGGCATAGTTCAACCTTTGCGTTAAGTAACAAGGCTAAGGTAGTATGGTGTGAAGGTGACTGAACTCAGTCAGGAGCTGTGGAGATTTAATCCTGATTCTGACTCCATGTCCTTTTCCATGAGCCATTGCCTCAGTTTCTTCAGCTGAAAAATAATAATCCAGGTTTCATAGCCATTGTGAGAATTCATGCAAGTAAAGCTATTTACACTAATACATTTTCAAAGATGCAGAGTGCAGTGGTTAGTAGACAGGATGCAGAGGAAGAAAATTCAGAAAATTCCTAGTTCAGTTTCACGCACACACTGTACGACCTTCGGGAAGCTAACCTCTCTGTATCTTATTTACCCAGGCAACTTGAACTGAGGGCTGGAGGAAATGTTCAGATACCTGAACATTCCCCCAGCCCTCACTTCAATTCCCCCAGTTCAATTCCCCAGCTCCCCGATCTTTCCCCCAGCTCTTCCCAGGGGGTGCGGGCCCCCGGATGATGTGGGCTGACAGTAAACTGCCGCTGCCAGCTGGTGATGGTGGCATTTCTTGGCTATTTCCCCAGCTGACAGCAGCAGCCTGCTGAAACCCTGCACGCAGATCTGGGGGCTGCACCTCCTGGGAAGAGCTAGAGGAATGTTCAGAGAGATGGGGAATTGAACCAGGAGCTCTAGCTGACAGGTGGAGCTGGCCCAGTCCCAGAGAGCACATGGCACCCTGCCAAGCTGTGCTGCACCCATGCCATGGGGCAACTGCTGTGCAGGTGCCAAGTGTGGGGGGGCGATATTCACTGCCCACCACTGCTCAGGGGGGCTCTACCATGAGGGCCCAGAGGCCCCAATTGTGGCCACTGCAGCCAGTGAGTGCGGGGCTTTTTTTTTTTTGTGCCGAGGTTGGGGCAGGTGGGGGATGGGGCCGGGCAGTGCAGCCATGGTGCGTTTCTCCCATGGCTTCTCCGGCTGTGCCTGCCTCTGCCCCAGTGTGGGGAGCTGCAGGGGCCATGCCATGCTGCCGCTTGTCAAGCTGGTGTGGGGGCTGGGCGTGATGCAGGCTTGGGTTGCTCCGGGCCACAGCAGGGCATAGCCCCCACTTCCACTGCTACCATGCCCGCATCAGCACTGGGAGCAGGGGCTCTGCCCTGCCACCACTTGCCAGCTGGTGCGGGGTGGTGCAGGATGCAGGCGTGGCAGCATTGGGAGTGGGGGCTATGCCCCACTGCCACTTACTCCCTTCTGTCTGGAGCGAGCTGTGCCAGCAACCCATGTCCCACTGCCCCCCTCCCCATGTAACCCGCCCCCCACCTTGGCTGGGCAGCTTGTCATAACCCCAGCCCCAATGCCTCCCTCCCCCATGCTCCTTCACTCCCCCCTCCCTCAACCCCAACAGACTTAACAGCTGGAGGCAGCTGTCAGCTGCCTATTTAGTCTATGGCTGAATCTTTTTTTGAAGCTTTTCTGAATTGATTCAGAGGCTTCAAATCAATTCAGAGCTTTTACTTGTTCTCCCAATTTGATTCAGATTCAGAGATTCGGTCCCTGAATCGAGCCAAATCTCCTCCAAATTGAATCAGCTACTGAAGCTTCGCAGAGTCCTACTGCACAGTACTAATGAGCTACTGCAGAACAAATGTCCTGTGTAGATGCAGCCAATGTGATCTTTGTTGAGTTATTTCACTTCAGAGACTAATGATATTTTGTTGTTGTTGTTCATCCTTCAAATTTGAAGATGACCATAACATCACCTTTTGGTTTGGTTTGGTTTCTGTGGACACACAAATGGCTGATCAGGCCAATTTGTGCTTTGAACTGTCTACAGCACACTGAGCAAGAGACACCGCTTTGGGTTGCTGCGAGATTTGCACTGTTTGCACTTCTGCTCTGCCTTAGCAGTTCTTCTCTAGGCATAGATGGTAGCTCCAGTATGGATGAGGCTTTGCCAAGCAGAACAATTATGAGCAAGATCTTTCCAGGACTTTGGGTCAATGTTGAAATGTTTCAGGGATGACTTGAGGGAGTCAAGTCCTTGACAGGACCTTCCCTCCTTTAATTCACCATAAAAGACCTTCTTTGGCAGTTGCTCATCTGACATCCTGGTGACATGGCCTGCCCATCTCAACTGTGATTTCATTAGAGTGTGGATGCTTGGGATGCCTGCCCAAGCAAGAACTTCAGTGTCTGGGATCTTGTCTTGCCATCAGCTTCCTCAGACAGCCCATGTGAAAGTGGTTCAGCTTCATAGCATGGCATCTGTACACTATCCAGGTTTCATATGCATACATCAGGACTGGCAACATAATGGCTTTGTAGACCTTCAGATGTTGATTAATGCCTCTGTGCTCCCACACATTTGCATGGAGTCTGCTGAAGGCCATGCTTGCTTTAGCAGTTCTGGCATTGGTTTCATCATTGATGTGAACTACATGTGACAGTGTACTGCCAAGATAGGTGAATTTATCCACAGCCTGGAGGGTTTGGTCATTCATAGTGATGGTAGGCTCTATGCAAGGCTTTTGTGGCACAGGCTGGTGCATCACTTCTGTCTTCTTAGTGTTGATTGTGAGACCAAAGCTGTCACAAGCTGAAGAGAAATGGTCCATACTCTGTTGCATATCAGACTCAGATTTAGCATTTAGAGAACAGTCCTGGGTATGACCAAAAACTGTACCCTACTGGAGTCTGGGGTCACTGTGGTGGGACTGCTCATGGTGGAGCAGCCTCTAGAAAGTGCCACCAGGGTCAAACCCCCAGGAAGGATGAGTCTGGGGCTCCCTAAAACTCCAGCACTCACTGTCTGCATGAGATATGATAATGATAATTAATGTAGCAACAAACATACTATTGGCTGCTTTAAAAGTTGAAGGGGACCTGCCACTCGGGAGTGCACACCAGCTGTTATGATGTTACAGACACACCTGCCTGTGGAGTGATACAAGCTAGCTGTCACTTTGACTTTACCCAGAATGAAACAGATTAAAGATGCAACAGTTTTGCTACCCTTGGACAGCTGCAATGCATAGGATGCAACTGCTACATCTGAAACAATGTATATCAGTGCCCTCTGATATCAATACAAGTGTTATGCTTGTCCATAGCGTCTGGTTACATTTGTACAGACTGTTGGATTGGTGGAAAGAAAATGCTACACGAACTAATTATAATTGTACAGTATGTCAGAAAGTGAGGCCTGGAGAATTAAATCCTCTGTTAGGATAAGGACTTGCCCCAAGCTCAACATCTGACAGGAGCTGTCTGACTGGGACCAGCTGCACCAATTACCATACTGGCTGCAGGAAGTCAAGCCTTAGGATATAAACTAGGCATGCTTTGTTGACCTTTGGCTGATCCACAGCTTACAGCTCCTCCCTTATCTCTGCTTTTGAATCCTGGCTCCTGTCAGGTTTCCTGCATTGTTCCATTCTATCCCTCCCCACCCAAGCTCTAGTCCCTGACATGCCTCAGCCTCAACTTCTGCTGTGATCTCTGTGCTTACCTTG